AGCGATAGCTAACAGATACGGTACCTAAACCCCTTCTAGAGTGACTGTGAGGATTATATGATCAATTAAGTGGTCAGTCTGAAGCCTGGAGAATATATTTCTTTTCTGAGGAATCAATGGGAAAAACTGGATCGGATAGGCAGCATTTCTCTCACACTACTTTCAAGGGACAGGACTTCAAAGTGTTCCAAGCCAAACCACAGCTACCAAGCTTGGTCCTTACTTTTTCAATCAATTACTTTCTAAGAATTGGAGAATGTGGCTATTAACCAAATGGAAATAACTCTCAACTCATGCTTCACCCTGGCTTCAATCAAGCTACACATCACCTATTTGATGTGAAAAGGACACAAAGACTCCAATTCCCAGCTCCTCCAAAAGATACACAAGACAATCTCTTCCTTTTGCCGCACCAACCTCTCTCTACAATGCCCCCACCACACCCACCTTTCAGAGCCTCCATCCATTCTCTTGGTACCAGCTTCTACCTGGAGAAGCTCAAATGTCACCACCTCGTGAAAGCCCTCCTTGAATTCATAGTCAAGAGTTGTGAATTCCACTCAGCCCTCTGCACACACTTCTGTTCTGGCATGCCTCATGTTGTGACACTGCCTCATTACCCGACTGACTCCCAGACTAAATCTTAAAAAGCTCATTTCAACTGCAGATTGAGAAGCTTCCCTCTCGGAAAAGCCCTCCACCACTTATTCTCTCTGAGGTCCCCCCTGCCTCGCATGCTGCTCAGAAACTGTTTGCTGAGTATTTTTTTCAAAAAAAGTTGACCATGATATTATTTATTTCTTTGGAAGCATGTTATTTAACTCAACTCTGTGGATGCTGACAAAATACCAAGTGTTGGTACACATCAGCCTGTATTTAAACTTGGGAAACTGATGTCATGGTGCATCTCGACTTTCTCAGCTGCAGTGGAAACATTTACTTAATGATGACAAAAGAAACAAGACTTCAGCAGAAAACATAAGTGGATAAGACTTGTCTGGCTGCACATAAGGAGACCTACCAAGTTACTGGCCTCTTTGTCATTATTATTTTTTTTTTATAAAGACAACCTGGGGGAATAATATTTCCACCTACTAAAGTTTCGTATTTTCTTCCCAGGAGCTCAGGCCCTCACTGTCTCTCCCTGGGACTATATTGTAATTGCCTCCCAACTCCAAACCCATCGACCCAAGATTGCAGCAGCTTATAGCCTGGGATGCTCCCCAACCACGGCTCTGAGTCTATCCTTTTCCTGATCCAACAGTCTTCCAGGCTTTCCCTGTGGGGTCCAAACTCAGGCCCCCACCTTTCTCACACTGTCACCTCTCATTTCCCAAGTGAGGCCCACTGCAAGAAAGCTTTGGTTTCCAAAAACACTCTCCACATTAAGGTTTTATATATACACATGCACACACAGGCCAACGCACAGACATACATGCATGCACACACAGATGCATGTACACGGCACATATACCTAAGGGCTCCCACAGGCTCCATTCAGCCTTTCCCGGCACCGAAATTACACTTCCATCCCTAGATCCAACTCACAGCTGCCTCCTACGTGAAGATCTCACTAAATTCCCCAAGACAAAAACACTGGGAAACAAATGATGAAAAGGTGACGGGTGTCAGCAGCCTTCAGAGGCTTAGGCCAAAAATTACTGCCAAGTCTTTTTGCAGCCTTTATTCTCTTCCTCCTAGCTTGTCCTTGTACTGAGAGATCTCTGAGCGCAAAATATGTGCTGGGTAAAAGTTGGTTAAATTGAAAACGTGATTCTAAAAGGGAAACTACCCCAAACTGGAGACTGGCTGGTAGCAGGGTGTATGTAGCCAGGGGTGTGTGTGCCCTGGGATTCACCCAGGAGAACAGGAGGATGGCTAAGTATGTGTCAGAGGGGGGCACAGTACTGAGGGGGCAGAAGGGCCCCCAAGATAAAGGTGGGTGGGGGTGGCAATGGAGGCCCTGAAAGGAGGATCTGTGGACCCACAGCTCCTAGCCCCATGCCACAGTAACTCCCAGCACAGGCCAACATTAAAACACAGGTCCCGACACAGCTGGGGCATCCAACAGCCCTACGGGTACTTGTTCTATTCCCTAACAGCTGATAAGAGGAAGCTGGGCCAGAGATTAAGTGGGCTAGAAGGAGGTTTTCCTGGATCTGTGGGTGAGGGGCAGAAGGCGGACTCTAGTGTGTTCAGGGCTGAACCTGCAGTGTCCCTGGCTTCCAAAAGCTGTCTGGCTGCAAATAATGTGAAAACCAGGCTACCGCCTGGCTGCTTGACCAGGAATGCAGGGTGGGTATGGACGGCAGCCCCATAGAGGGCAGAGATGAAGAGGGCACCCGGAGTCTCTGCATCCCAAAGCAGCTCCAACCAGAAGACCCAGAGGGAGGGTTAAGAAGCCACTGTTGCACTGGTGTGGTGCCAGGATCAGCTGCGAAAGATCACCTGAGAATTTGTGAGAAATACACCTTCTCGGGCCCCACGTGTTTTGGCCAGTCCTCCAGGTGATGGTTTGAGAACCGCTGCCTAGGATGCCCCTCACTGGTTCCTCCTCCTGCTTGCTAGAAAGAACATCTGGCAGTTGCAATCCCTCTGACTCTGAAGATGGCAACAACCTCTTAAAAGATCAAAGGGCTCAAAGTCACAGTCTAGTAGGTAAAGTGCACTCCAGAGAGATCTTTTTTAAAGAAACCATATCTGCTCATACCATTCAAGAGCTGAATCCCCTCACTGCTTAAGTTACAAGGTTCTCCCCGACCTGGGACCTCCTGCCCCTCTGGGGTCCTGGCCAACTCTAACCTCTCAATTCCTGCCACAAGGCCTTTACCTACAATCTCTGAGAGCACCAGGTTCTCTTCTGCAACCACCGTAAGAGTGGTCCTCCCTGGCCACCTCCCATGAAGCCCTGCCATCGCAGCACTCATCATGTACGCCGCAGCTTGGACCACAGGCGTCACTGGACCCTGCTCCAGGGCCCCGCGGAGGGGAGCAAAGAAGAACCGTAAGAGACGTCTGGTAGAACAAAGCCAAGTTTTCAACGCACTTAACACTCCAGCCATTAAACTTCGTATTCCTCGGTATTCGAAGTAGTCTTATTTATAGTTAGGAAAAAACATTTACTAAAGTTTTGAAAACCATAAAGGAAGATCCTAGTGAGTAGGCAGAACCACAAGCAGCGGGAGAGAAAGGAGATTTGCCCACTGGGGAGGTGGTCATGGAATAACAGGGGAATGGCGGGATCTCTCTGGAGCGCTAGGCTAGGCCATCCTTCTATTTCCAGGGACTCCAGGTTCTCCCAGATGAGCACCTAGCAGAGCCTGGGCCACACATAAGGCGGCAGGGAGCCTCTGTGGTTTCCCTTACAGATGGACCACAAACCCAGAATCCTGGGGGCTCCCAGAGAAACCTCCTCTGTCCCCGAGGAAGTGCCAAGGTGGCCACCCGGATCCTAGCTCTTGTCATTTAGGTGTGGCACCCCAAGTGCTGAGGAAGCCCAGAGTCCATGCAGATGCGGCCCCAAACTGGCTCCAGAGGGAAGTGGAATCCATAGGTTACCCACGTTGCCTTCAACAGACCCAGCGGGAGGAGGAGGTATGCTAGGGGGACCTGGGACCCTGGGGAGAGGAAGTCAGGCAGAAGAAGTCAGGAGGGGCACCGGCTTACTTTTCCTGCCTGGAAAAAGAAAAGTTCCCTTCCCAAGCACCAGCTGGCAGGTAGGGGCCTGTCTCCCTCCTGGCTGGACATCCAGTCCTAAAAGAAATTCAGACTCTATCAGTTTCCCCCAGCCCACATCTGGGTGAAAAGTTTACCTTTGGGAGAAAGCAGGGCGGTTGGAGAACAAGAAGGACAGCAGTCTCACAGCCATCGCAGGGCACTGGGCCTCAGATGGAACGAAAGCACTGCCTTCCACCAGAGGCAGACAGAACAAGTATTATTTTATGGGGGAAAGGAGAGTGTCACAGGAGTGTGAAGGGGGAAGAGGGGACCCAGTCTGGCTGTAATTAACCAGACTGCTCCAAAGGTCCGGGGGATCAAGACAGTCTGATCTGTTAGGGAGGAGAATGTACAAAATCGTCCCCCTCATCCTTGGGGCTGTAAAGGGTAAGGTCAGGAAGGAAGATGAGGATGGGAGGGGTGGTCTCCTTCCAGCTGGCCGGGTAGGCAGACCCCTCTTCCCCCAGCCGGGCTGGAGGAACTGACAGGTCGAAGTGGAGCGCTCTTGTAGACCAGCGCACTTCAACCGGAAAAGCACGGGTAGGGGTTGGGGGGTGGGGGTCGTGTTTCTCGGTACAGCTCCAGTACAAAAGGCTGCCCCATTTGGAAACCTGGAGCGGGGGTGGGGGTGGGGGTGGGGCATGGCAGGGCATTTAGAGGGATTTACATATATCCGTTCAGAGACAGCCGGTCTGGATCTGCCATCGAAAATGTGTAATATGCGGCGGGTCCCTTCCCAGCTCTAGACCTCAGTTCCCATCTATAAAGTCAGGGGCGGGAGGAACGGGGGTAGACAAGAATAAACACTCTTCTAAATACGTGGAGAAGGAAATGGCAACCCACTCCAGTATTCTTGCCTGGAAAATCCCACGGACGGAGGAGCCTGGCGGGCTACAGTGCATGGGGTCGCAAAGAGTCAGACATGACTGACCCACTAACACTTTACATACGTTAAGGGCTCTGACTCTCTGACTTTCCTCCTCGAGGGGCTGGTTGGCTATCTCTTGGATCAGGCTGGGCAGAGAGCTCTCTGGTCAGGATATTTCCAAAGAGGGCACCTGGCTGTGGGTTCAGATTGAGGACCTTTGGGAAGCAGCAGCGTTGAGACTGTCAGGAGGCCAATGATCGGGGGCAAAGTGCGTGCAAGGAGGCAGAATTTGGTAGCATCGTAGAAGGCCTGACCTCGAGTCCTAGCCCGAAGTGGATGTAGGAACTCGAAACTAGAGCGGTGCCCCGTGCGCACAGTGGCTCTGGAACCTCGAGTGAGGCCAAGGGCGTCTTACCTTGTCCTTCTTGCCAGCACCGCTCTCCTCCGCGGCCGAGGCGCCACACTTGTTGAGTAGTTTCTTGCCGCCGCAGGCCGTCGGGCTCCAGGTACGGCCGCCAGAGCAGGCGGCCCCTGGGGGGTCCCCGGCACAGCCCGCGGCGCTCTCCACCTTAATGAGGCGATGCTTCGGGGAGATGTAGCGCACTTCGGCCGGGGTGGCAGGCCGCCGCTCGCTGCTGCTGCGGTAGAGGTGCGGGGAGCCAGAGGACGAGGACGAGGACGCGGCGGCGCCCGCGCCGGAGGAGGCACAGCAGCAGCCCGCGGCGCCCGACGCGGACGAGGCGGAAAAGGCGCACTGGCTCCCACCTGGTTCCCCGCTGCCGCAGTAGTCCAGGTGGCACATGGCACACAATTTGCGCAGCGACGAGCCAGGACCATTGTAGGGGTCCTCAAAGTCACGCTCCTTCTGTGCGCGGTAGGCGCGGATGAGGTCGCTCGTGCTGCCGCTGTCGTCGGGCAGCGATCCCGACAAGGCCGAGAAGCAGGCGGCAGCGGCTTTACCGCAGGACTCGGAGGCAGCCGCGGGAGCCTGTGGCACAGCCTCGGGGGCTGCAAGGGCCGCTCGCCTCGGCACTGCTGCTCACGGTAGTCGGGCCGCGGCGGTTGCGGGGAACTCTTGGTCTTGCTGTTGCCCAAGCTGAAGTACTTCTTCAGCCACTTGGCCATGGCGAGAGGCCGCCTAGGGCCGCAGCGCGGGAGCCGGGTCTGCCTCCACGGCCATTCGTGGGGCAGCGATGCCGCCCCGGCCCCGGCCCCGGCCCCGGCGAGGGGTGTCCCGATGGTAACCTTTTATGTGTTAGGCCACACAGATGCAGGTATGTTGAACATGGTCGGTCCAATGATTGTGTGATAACACATCGGTACCTTGAAATTGGCCATTGTAGGAATATGTATATCATGAACTGGCAAATGATACAGATAAGAATCTTTTTCTCTGGAGAGCTGGCTGCTAAATATTTGCCAACACATCACTACAAAGATGTATACACAAGTCAAAAGTCAGCAAATGAATACTTAAGTTTTGTGCATTTCATTGCACGGAAATTTTACATCAAAAGAAAATATATTTTTAGCTAACAATATATATATTGACATATTTAGGGGTACATGTGTTTACACTGGTGATCCATTTAAATAAATAAAGTAAGATGGTTTAAAAAAAAGTAAGATGGTTTAATAGATGGATAGAGGGATAGACAGATGTGATAAATCAGTAAATTATTAATGATATAATCTAGCCAGCCATCACTGGTTTTTTGTGATAAAATTCTTTCAACCTTTCTGTGGGTTTAAAATTTTTCATTAAATACTGGAAAAATATTTTCCCATTTGGATATTAAAAATATTAACATATGTACTTTAACTCTATCTTTTTTGGGCTTCAATTTTTATATTTCATTGTTTAAACCAATTGCTACTTGTTATGGTATACAGTGAAGGGAGGGAATCTAAACATATTATTTGCTCAAGTAGTGAAACAACTGAAGGGCATTTTTTAAATCACTCTTTAAAAGATAGTTCACAGTAGGAGTATGTACACCATGGACACTGGCAAATGGTACAAATCATGTGAAATTCTTGAAAGGAAAGAAGTAATATTGTGGATAGCTGACTGAGGTCCCTGGGGAGATAAGAGGGAGAGGATCTAGCACAAAAGAATAAATATTAACCTTTGGCAGGAAGGATGTCCCCAGCACTGATTTGAAATGGAAGAAAATGATAGCTAGGATACAGAAATTAGCAGAGTCAGGCAGAAAGTAGATGAAGGTTATTACTGATGGCATTGTTTCCTTTGAAATAGGAAAGAAGACTACCTGCTAAAAATAATGAATAGCAGTAGGATAGGAAATAGTAATGAAGATCTAAAATAGCATTTTTAAGGAATGAAACAAAGAGCTGACCAGAGACTAGGAGACATTGCCAAACAAGAAAGAAGGCTCTAGATGATACCAAAGATGAGGAATTTGTAGAGGCACTAATCAACACAGTTATACTATTTTTCTTTAGTAGTGCTCAAAATCCATCATGCAGCAATAAAGAAAGTAATCAGTTGGATTGATTCAGGGTTGAGGATTTGCTGGGTGGGTATGATGCACAAAAAAAAGAAGCAAGGAAAATGACTCAGTGGCAATAACTTGGGTAAATAATGGATGATGGAGTCTAAGCGAGATGTGGAAGGAAGAGGCAACAGGAAGGGGATGACAGATTGGGAGAAGAAAAAAAGATCAAGGAGCTGGAGATTTTAACTGGGTTGAAAGAATGGTAAAATGATTGTTAAGAGAGTTGTGAGAGCCAGAAGGATAAGAGAAAGGTTATGGAGCAGTATGGAGCTTAAGATTTCAGAAGAAGTATATTTCTAGGGAGACGATATGTTGTTTTCCCACTGATTTAAGGTTAGAAAATGGGATGTTTATTACTTAAACATAAATACACACAGTGTTATCTCAAGATACAGTAAAATCACACTTAAAAAAAAATCTTTTAAAATCATGTATACAAATGCCATGATCAAGAGCACAGACTTTCATATTAAGAACAGACCTAGATTTAAGTTCTAGCCTGGTTATTTAATAACTGACCTTGAGAAATTCATTCTTTCAGAAGTTCTATTTCATTATCTGTAATATAGATACTATCTTATAGGGCTACTGTAAGGTTTAAATGAGTTAATGTGCAAAATGCTAAGCACAAGGACTAGCACAAATAAGCCCTCAAAATTATTAGCCATTAGGAATTCTCTCTCCAGGTAAGATTAAGTAAGCGTACTTCACCTTGCCTCTCCCACTGAATATAGCTAGAAAACTAGAGAGACTACACAGAGTACATGACAACAGTGAAAACCACAAAGCAAAATTTGGAATAGGTAAGAAATTTAGAATTTGAAATAACAAAGAACTCATGCCCAGACACAGCATAATCATAATCAAACTGCTGAAAAGTAAACAGGGTAAAGAAAGTAGAGGAATAAGGACAAAAAGTTTAAAACCCATAAATTTATGGTTAATTGATTTTCTTAAAAAGTACCAAGACAGTTTAATTTGGAAAGGATCATCTTTTCAATGAAAAGTGGCAGGACTATTGGACATACATATGCAAAGAGATTAATGTAACCCTAACCTTACACCAGGCTTCCCAGGTGACTCAGTGATAAAGAATCTGCCTGCAACGCAGGAGACGTGGGTTCGATCCCTGGGTTGGGAAGATCCCCTGGAGAAAGAAACAGCAACCCACTCTAGTATTCTTGTCTGAGAAATCCCATGCACAGAGGAGCCTGGCGGGCTACAGTCCATGGGGTCGCAAAGAGTAGGACACAACTGAGCATGTACACACACACACACACACACACACACACACACACACAACCTTATACCCTATGTGTAATTCAGAAATTAATTAAAAGTGGTTCATAGACCTAAATGTATGAGCTAAAACTATATATCTTCTAGAAGGACACATATGAAGAAAATCTTTATGATCCTGGGTTAGAAAGAAATCTTAGTTACAAGATCAAAAGCAGAAGTCATAAAAAAAATTAGATTTCATCAAAATCACAAACTCTTAAGCTTCAGAAAATGCTGTTTAAAAAGGTGGTGTCAGTGAAAATGGCAGAGTTAAGAATCTCTTAAAAGAGAACACTGATAGAAACTGTCAAAATCAACTTGTTTTCAGAACTCTGAAAATTAATCAAAGGCTTGTAGTAATCTGGGAAACATCTATTGAAGAAAAATAGCAGAATATCAGTAAGAATGATAAGTTTTATGGCATTTTAACTTGCCTTTTCCTCATCCTTTTTCCCCAGGTCTGTCAGTCAGTCAGTGAGTTCAGTCGCTCAGTCATGTCCGACTCTTTGCGACCCCATGAATTGCAGCATGCCAGGCCTCCCTGTCCATCACCAACTCCTGGAGTTTACTCAAACTCATGCCCATCGAGTCGGTGATGCCATCCAGCCATCTCATCCTCTGTTGTCCCCTTCTCCTCCTGCCCCCAATCC